TGAGACTCCTATCTCCAATAAACCACCAGAAAACCAGAAGTGGCGCTGTAGCTCAAGTGGTAGAGCGCTCGCCTTGAGCTGAAGAGCTGAGGGACGGCGCTCAGGTCCAGAGTTCAAGCCCCACGACCGACAAAAAAAAGAAAAGAAAAGAAAAGAATATATAGGGCTGGGAAGGTGGCTCAGTGGTAGAGCGCTTGCCTTGCATGCATGAGGCCCTGGGTTTGATTCCCCAGCACCACATAAGCAAAAAGAAAAAAGCTGGAAGTGGTGCTGTGGCTCAAGTGGTAGAGCACTCGCCTTGAGCTGAAGAGCTGAGGGACAGTGCCCAGGCCCAGAGTACAGGCCCCATGACCGGACCCCCCCCAAAAAAAAAGAAAAAGAAAATTAATATATGTTTCTTTGACACTTATTCCAGAGAAGAAACAAAGTGATGATAGTTAAATAAATGTGCCCCAAGTCACACATCCAGAAAGTAGCTAGACAAGAATTTAAATGAAGTCTAGTAAAACCTCAAAGTTGTCCTTTCTACTGTCTATAGAAGCTTCTTACTGTGTTCCCCCTGTAAACATTTGCAGTCTATTTTTCTGCATTCTCAAAATGACAGTGTGGAGCAGCTCTACCTTTTGTACAAGCTTTTGTACAAGCTATTACCCTCTAAAATGTCGTAATTTACTCCATAGTCTTCTGGTGGAAACCCATGAATCAGCTGGGTTTTCTTCGGAAAAGCCATCTCACTTGAGTCAGGCTACTGATGTACCACAGCCTTTTCTAGCACCTCTGTTAAAGCTGTTTACTTCCTGGAATTAATGTTTTACTTCCAAAGATGCAGTCCTTTCTCTTCCAGACTAAGTCCTGTTACTGACAAATCTGCACAGGGCCTAGCATTTAACAGGTAATCAATAAAAGAGGGCATTTCGACTTGGTTTGGGAGGAGTAGGGAGCCTGGAAGAACCCAAGTGAGAAGTTTGGAGAAGAGGGTAATGACAGGGCTGAACCCCTTCCATCTTGAGCCCGCCTCCCCCCACCCCTCATTCTGTGCTTACATCCAGGAAGCCAGAGAGCTCCGTTTGCAGCAATTCCTTTAGTTCCTTCTTGCTCAGCTTGTACTTGTCCCCTTCCTTGCCCGAGTGGGAGTGGAACACGTTGATGAGGGTCTCCATTGCAGTCTCCAGCTCAGAGCCCATTGTGGCAGAGTACCTACCCACACCCCACCATTGGAAATGAGCTGGGAACCAGGCAGGCCCAGGGGGTCTGAGGTATAGATGAGGGGGAGACCTCAGGCCTGGTCCTGGTGTCACAGCTCAAGTAGTTATGAGACAGCTGCCGCACTGTGGGTAGAGACCCAGCCTACATTAACCCAGTCCTGTCCTTTACCCCAGCCAGGGAGAGTGAGTAGCAAAAGCTGGGTCAGCTCCAGAGGCCACAGTGTAGGTCTGCAGTGGCTTCTGGATGCCTGGGAAGAGTCTGAGGAGGGTGGGGCAGGCAGGGATGGTCACAGGACCAGGCCTGTGTCTTCTGACTCTATTTTTACCCTGGACATTGCAAGGGTTAGCACAGCTAAGCTCTGCTATTGGGGGTGTTGGGTCAGGGTCTCTACTGCCTTGATTCTGTTCACTCCAGCAAGGAGTTAGTCTGGTACTCTTGGTGAGCCTAATGAGGAGGTGGTAGGTCCAAGAATTTTTGGGAAGGGGAGTCTCTGAGGTTCCCATCAAATAGCCTGAGGTCTTCCCGATCCTTCAGACCCCTTCTCTTTTCAACAGTTTTGGCTTCTCTGAGATTTGCCTACAGTCAGAGTCCTCCTCTTTGCAAAATTATCCCTTCCAGCAAGTGGGTGGTAGTGAGGGAGATAGGAATGTCTGTGCATTTTTTTTTCTCTTAGAAACAAAGCTCCCAGGAAAGTTGAGGGGGGGGGGAGAAAATCTGTAAGCCTTGTCCCTGTGGCTGCCCACTCCCATCTCCAGGCTGCCTGGTTGATATGGGGACAGTGGGAACTACAGGGACAGTGCAAGCAGGAAGACAAGGCTGGCATGTGGGAGATAAAGTGCTGAAAGCAGGAGGTCCTTTGAGTTCAAGGGGCTGGGAGAAAGCAGATGAATGGAGTCTGTTGAGAAGATACTGCCACACCAGGGGACCTCTGTCCTTTGGCTCTGGGACAGTTAGGCCCTCCCTAGTCCCAGGCGGCAGCTCAGGTGTCCCAGATCAGATGTCCCTATCCTTCCCCATATTTGGGGGGCTGGACAATGGGTTCTGATCAGATGACATCCCAGCTTTTCAATGGGGCCCTTGTGAATGTCACCTGAACTCCAGACATGAGAAGTGGTTGTCACAGAGACATAGGGGAGATGGAACCCAAGCTGGGCTGATCGAAGGGATAAGGGGGTGCTTGCGGGAGGGATGCTGGTGGCTCAATTACCAGCCCCATCCAGGAGGGGCACCTGGAGGTTGTCCAGAGCCCTCCAGCAGCCTAGGATTTTATATGGGGGTAGTTCTGGGAGGACCTGGGGGCAGGGGGAAAACAAAGAGGAAAGAATTGGGGGAGAGGTGTGGAAGTCAGCTGCGAAAGAGAGAGCGGAGGTAGGGTTGCAAGGGGGCACAGTGACCTAGGCCCCCCTCTTTTTGATATCATATTGCCCATGCTCTGCCACCCCCAGATTTCCCTGGGACATGGGTCTTGGCAGGGGTGGGGGTGGAGATGGCAGAGACTGAGGCTGGGGAGGGGAGGAGGGAAGGGGACAGAACAGCTGTTCTACTCTTATTCTTACCCCACAGGCAGTGTCCCTTCCCTAACTCCTGGGATACTGGGTGTGTGGGGGGGAACTGTCTCTCTGTATGACCGCCCAGTGCCCTGGAAGCTGGATGGCAGGTTCATTTACTAGACTTTCAGCTCTCCCTCTGACCTTCACTTGCCTCTCCTCACCGCTATCCAAACCCTGGACTCCCCCAGATTCTAAACTATCCTTACCCTGACTAACTCCTAGCAGACCCTCAGAGCCTATGCAATGCCATCATCCTCAGGCACTTGAGGCCCCGTGGAAATCCCCTTTCCCCCAAGCTGGCCGGGTCAGGGATCCAGTTGCCCAAGTGGGCCAGAATACTCACTGTAGGCCTGTACCTGAAGTGAAAGCAGCTTCTGGATAGACAGGCAGGCAGGCAAGCAGGATGCAACTGTGGCTCTTGCAATGTGGGGGAAACCTGTCTTTAGCAGTCCTTCCCCCTTACTCCACCCTCCCAACCGGCTCCACCCCTTCACATACAGACACCGGGTGGTGGGGCAAAGGGCCAGGAACAGACACAGGCGCCCTCTGTCTCCTGGGCTGGAACAGGCTGCCCTGTGTCTCTTCCCTGGCCTTGGTTGCCGCCCCCTCCTGCTGGGCACCAGTGGCAGAGGAAAGAGGTGGGAAGAGAGGTCCTGGGAGGGACAGAGATGCCCTGAAGCAGGCTGTGCCCACTGGACAGGGGAGCGGGAGGGATGGCTCAGGAAGTCCTACCCTGGCGCTTCTCCTTCTGAGTAATTTAGTCTTGGGAGTGTCTCTGAGGGGTTCCTGTCAGAGAACTCAGGAGGAATTTCAATCTGGGAGTTCTTCTATAGGGTATGAGCCTGGATTCCCCTCTGTTGGAGGGCCCTCAGCATGAGGTCCCCAGAGGGTCTTGATTTGTGGGGTTCTTTATGTAGTTTCCCAGTGGGACCGCTGCTGAGTTCTCTCAGATGTTTTATTTTTCAATCAATAGTCCCCCCCCATTAGTTACCCCCTAATAGTAACCAATTAGCTGTGAGGGTGTGGAGGGCAGTAGCCTTCACTACTGGGGGACAGGATTCTTGGGAGTCTTTCTGCCCTCAAGGGGGCGCAAAGGGCTGGGCTGGACAGCGGGCTCCAGGCCCTGCAATCAGGCACAGAGAGGCGGGATTGGGCGGCTCCTGTCTTCTGAATCAAGAGTGCAATTTGACACCTCGGCAAGGGAGTGGCTCTCCCCTCTCTCCGGCTCTTATAAACTTCAGCCCTCAGGCTCCGGCTAGCAGCACCCTATCTTCTTGCCCTGGTGAGTTGCATTCAATGACCCTGGGGTTGTGAGTGCCCAATATCCTAGGGATCCTTTTTTTTACTCTCTGTCCCCAAGTCCCTCTCATCCAGGGCCCATTCTGAAGCAATTCAGGAAGTGGCTTTGGGAGAGAAAGTGATGGTCCCTGTAGGGTTGTGTAGGGTGTGTGTGTGTGTGTGTGTGTGTGTGTGTGTGTATGTATGTGCGTGCACGCATGTTGGGGAGAATGAGAGGTATGAGTGTGTGCGTGTCTCCTTCCTCCAGCTCCCTCCCCTGTCAGGGGCTGTGAGTGCAAAACCAAGCCCGTTGTGGTCTTGGGGAATCTCCATTTCAGGGTCCCAGGGTCCCAGGATCCTGTCACCAAGAGACAGGAGTGGGGTGGATCTGTGGGAGAGTAGGGTGAGGAAGCGGAGAAGACATCTGACCACTGGGCCTTGGCCAATCCTGGGCTGGTCTGCTGGGAACATTGGCCAGCATGTGGGTGGACTGACTGCCGGGGTGGAGACCTAGGTCTCAACATAAACAAGTTTTGGAGACAAACAACCTCCTGACCCTTTGAGGCTGGCTAAGACCACAAACAAGAAAACTTGGGCTACCAGTATCAAAGGATGATCCCCTCCCCCCGCCAAGAGTCCCCTCCCAGGATCTCCACAGAGACATCCCTAAGACAGACACTTAGAAAGGACTCTCAGACTGTAGAACTCAGAGAAAAAAGAATTTCAGGAACTGAATTGAGATACTATTGCCTGGTCTCCCAGCTCAAGCTCCAGACCTATCACCTCCCTCTTCTTCACAGTGCCCCCTTCAGGCAGAGGCCTGACATGACAGCACCAACCTGGAGCTCTTGGTCATCTCTCATCCTGGGAATACTAACTCTCCCTCTGCTTTTCCCCTATCCTGTAGGTCTGCCTGTGAGGCTATTGGCTTCCACCTCAGGGTGCTAATGGCGGCCGAACCGTTGACTGAGCTGGAGACAGCTATTGAGACAGTGGTCACCACCTTCTTCACCTTTGCAGGGCAGGAAGGCCGGAAGGGCAGCCTCAGCATCAATGAGTTTAAGGACCTGGCCACCCAACAACTACCTCATCTGCTTAAGGTTGATGAAGTCTGGGACTGAGATTTTGTGAGACAGAGTTATGGGGTTCTGTATGTGTAGTGAGATTGCTGAGTTGAGATGGTATGCTAAGCATTCATTGTTCACGCCTATACTCACACCTGTAATTGTAGCTACTGAGGAGGCTGAGATCTGAGGATCATGGTGCATAGCCAACGCGGGCAGGAAAGTCCGTGAGACTCTTATTTCCAATAAACCATCAGAAAACTGGAAGTGGCAGTGTGGCTCAAGTGGTAGAGTGCTCACCTTGAGCTGAAGAGCTGAGGAACAGTGCCCAGGTCCAGAATTCAAGCCCCACAATCCCCTCTCCTCCCTCCGCCAAAAAAAAAAAAGGGGCAAAACTGGGATGTGGCTCAAGTGGTAGAATGCTAGCCTTGAGAAAAAAAAAAGTCAAGAGATAGTGCAAGGCTCTGAGTTCAAGCCCCAGTACTTACACACACACACAAAAGGATATGAGAATATGTTTTTTAGGTTTTCCTGCTTGTGGTGTGTGTGTGTGTGTGTGTGTGTGTCCGTGTCTGTGTCTGTCTGTCCCTGTCTCTCTGTCTGAGAGAGTGTATGTGAATTGCACTAAGTAAGAAAAAGGTGCTGGAAGTATGTTATTGGGTTCTGTGTTACCATCAAATGATCCTGTTAGCTTCTTCTTTTATTTATTTTTTTACTCACAGGTGTGGGGCTTGAATTCAGGACCTGAGCACTGTCCCTGAGCTCTCTGCTCAAGGTTAGTGCTCTACCACTTTGAGCTACAGCTCCACTTCTGGTTTTCTGGTGGTTAACTGGAGGTAAGAGTCTCATGGACTTTCCTGTCCAGGCTAGCTTTGAACCTCGATCCTCAAATCTCAGCCTCCTGAGGTGCTAGGATTACTAGTGTGAGCCACTGGCACCTGGCTCCTGTTAGCTTCTTGTATCTGCTTGTGCTTCTCTAGTCTCATTTCTTCAAAACAGGATTAGACCCAGAGCTGGATACCAGGAGATTTACAGACTGTAAGAAGGTGGGAATATGGGTTAGTGGTAGAATGCTTGCCTAGCATGCATGAAGCCCTGGGTTTGATTCCTCAGTACCATAAATAGAAAAAAACTAGAAGTGTCTCCATGGCTCAAATGGTAGAGGTCTAGCCTTGAACAAAAAAAGAAGCTCAGGGACAGTGCCCAGGCCCTGAGTTCAAGCCCCAGGACAGGCCAAAAAAACAAACAACAGCAAAAAAAAAAAAAAAAAACAGACTGTAAGAGCTAGAAAATAATCAAGAGAAAACAAGTCCCCATACCTCATTTTGCACAATGGAGAATAAGGCTCAGCAGTGGGAAGGGACTGTCAGAAATAAAATCATAAGCCAGATGTCTGTAACTTCCAGGTACTGGGGAGGCAGAGATAGGAGGATCACAGTTGAAGCTAGCCCAGGTTACTGAGACTCCATTTCAGCAACAAAGCTGGATGGCTTATGTCTATAATCCTAGCTATGTGGGAGGTGTAGGTAGGTAAGAGGATCCTAACTTGGTAAATAAACTAAAGCTATAAGAGCTGGAGGCATGGATCATGTGGTGAAATACTTGCCTAGTAAGTATAAGGGGTTTTGAGTTCATACCCCAGTACTACAAAGCAAACATTAAAAAACAAAGCAAGCCCACAGAACCTAAACCAAAAATACCCCACAAGACAAGCATGGTAGTACATAGTTATAATACCAGTATGGGCTGGGAAGTTGGCTCAGTGGTAGAGCGCTTGCCTTGCATGTCTGAGGCCCTGGGTTCAATTCCTCAGCACCACATAAGCAAAAAGAAAAAAGC